CACACACACACACACACACACACACAAAGGGGCAGTCAAGAAGCTGCGACTACGCTCCACGCTGGCATGGCAGCATCCTCTGACCACCTAAACACACACAACCAAACTGTGTCCCTGATGACTCCTCGTGACTCTGCACACACACACACACACACACACACACACACACGAGCGTGTCGTCGGGAGTCTGTGCGAGACAATGGAGAGGAATTACGAGATGTCATCTGTGTTACAGCTGCAGGCGGCTCGCGTTCAGGCAAAGAGAGGAGAGACGGGCAAAGAGGAGACAGACTGCCGAGCATCCCTCTCTGAAGGAGGGAGGGTTGTAGGGCTGCTCTCAAGGGTATCGTGCCAAGCCAGGAAGTGTGCAGCGACAGAGAGGGGGGGTTGGGGGTGGGCACAAAGAGAGAGAGAGTGTGTGTGTGCATGCACGTGTGTGTAGAATAGAACATATGGAGGAAAAAAAAGCAAATGAAACTGAAAAAAAAGAAAAATACTAGAAGACCCAAAGGCTATTGTGAATAACATAACATACACAAATAAAACAGATCAAGGCAGATGAATGACTGGCTTTAATAATAATAAAAAAAAAATAGCTGAGATATATTGAGTTTAGGTTTGTTCTGGCTGGTTTAATATACATATCAGTTTAAAATTTTTAAAAAGAAACTTGTTTAATAAAAAATGCATTTAAACATTTTTTAAACAAGAATATTGATTTATCGATCGTATAATTGGCCGTGCTTGTGCGCACATGTATGACTGAAATATCTATCTCGCAAACCAGTGGACAGATTTAAATAAAAATCTCAAMGAAATCMCAGGAAAACTGAATAACTTTCACCCAATTTAAATGGACACCACACACAGCATATCAACTGTTAGAAATAACAAAATGGCCATAAGTGAGATTTCTTTTAAAGATATTGAGCGTAATGAAAGTAGCTGGAAGGAATGTTGTCAGCACTGCTGATATACACTTAGCATACTTTAAGGAAAACTGTGTTTGGTAGATTATTTCTTTGTTGTAACAATTTTTTCTTGGCAGTAAATGTTATATCAGGCACCTGATTGGCAGCAGCTGAGGGGACCAGAAGCTCAAAAATAGCAACAGCTAAATAACATGTTTGTTAAAAAAGATTTGACAAATTTTTCATGTGCACAACCCTCATACTCAGCTCTACTGCTCATCCCACAAACGCATGTTCCTTACAAATGTGGCACCATTTAAAATGGAAATTACCAGGCTTCCCAACGGTATAAGATTTATTGYCAAGAAGCATTGTTACAGCAAATAAATAATCTACCAAACATAAATTTCCTTTTTTTTTGTGCTAATTTTGAAAATCAAATGTGCCGGAGGGCGTGTGTGGGGATGTTGAGAGTGAAATGAAATTTGCATTTCAAGGTTTTTATGATTAACCTTAATGTTGATTAGCAAGTCATACAGAAGCAAGTTTATTTATTTTTTCTTAAATGTAAAATAGCATGACATTAGTGCTGGCACTGCCTGTTTGACATCACAGGAGCTGTTCTGTAACGCCCAGTCTGGAGAGATGTCACTTTCCCGTGCACGTGTGCCTTTGTGCATTCCCTTCGCTTCCCCTTTTGAAACCAACCCACCAAATGTTAAAGCTGACACGGGGTGACAGCTGCACAGTAGTGCTGAGGGGAGTAATTCAATAATGGATGCTGTCTCTAATGTAAGAGTCTGGATGGATAAAATATACATGGGGGAGAAAAAGAGGGTAGACAGAGGGGCGGGGGGTGATATCAGTGAAACACAGTAGGAGGTCGGAGACTGTGACGAGGGGCATGATATCATAGACGACCAAACCTGTGTTTCTTTATGGGAAAGGTTGAGTCTGTTGACCCGTTTGTATTTAAATGCTCCAATTCTTATTGGACAGCAAGCAACCAAACGCAGAACCACAGCACACAGAACCGGGTCCAGCTCCAACCAAAGGAGGAGGTGTGGAGAGGATACAGCAGCATCAAGCCGAGGAGGTGAAGTGCAGACTGTGAGCATCCAGCTCCACATTCTCTTTTCTGTCATGCTGTGACATCTGCCACCCCGCTTTAAGGGTCAGAGGTCAGGGGCAAAACACGCACCATGACACCACTTAAGTGCACACTTGTGAACTTTCCACAGCAGCACACACTCACACAAAAGGAGCAAACCGAGCATTAGCGACTTCATTTACACATGCACATTCATTCACTTTAATTACTGGGGTTGAAGCAATCATTTAAATGTTTAATTTCTAGCTTCCAGATATGAAAAAGTAGGATATTTTATTAACAATGATGCCCTCTGCTTTGTCTGCATTGTAAAAACAAATGCCAGGCTCAAGAAAGCAATGAAAAACTCAAATAAAGATGATGAAAAAAGAGGTTTTGTTCAACATTTTGGATCAAAAAGTCAGGTTAAAACAAAAATRCAAATTTATTTCATTAAGAGTATATTATTTGGGAATGTGCTTTCTTTAAAAATAAAATAAGATAAAACAAATCTACAGACTGAAAGCTACAATCTTTTATTATGATTCATATTTACATTATGGATTTGTATCTTCAAAATCCTACTGTATGTCTGCTCATAAGCTCATTCAGCTTACAGCCTGACAGTGAGCTGCACATTACAGTAACTTTTCCACATCAAATATTTTACATGAAAATTAAATCAAACAGTTTCCTGTGAGAAAAAAAGAAGAGGTCACAGAAATCATTGGCTGCATATTAATATGTTGTAATGGGTCAAATTTCTGYTAACATTTCAGACTCTTGATGTTCTTGAACAGAAAAAATATCTAAATTTTTACTAATGTTAGTGAGTAATTAGCTGTAATTAATTGCAGCACGAGGGCAAAGAAAGTATGAGGGAACCAATAAATAAAAGCTAGGCCCATAATGTTTTCACAAAATAATAATTATTTAAATTACCTTATCCACTCTAAACAATTTTTTTTGCCCAGCCTGAGCAAAACGAGCAGCACTATTAAAACTATTTGTCAAATATGAGTTTGCATCATCAGATTACTGCTGGTAGAACGACACAAACAAACAGAAGACAAATTCAGTCAGAAAAATACAWTTCTAGATAATTAAAAACTACTTAAATGTGTCACAGATTAAATTGGAACAGATTACTTCTACATGCAGGTCAGTGTGATTTATCTGATGCTGATAAAAACCTTGATAAAGCAAACAGAGCGTACAACATCACGCACGTTGTTCACCACGCTCTGTGGTTCATGTCAGCGTCACACATCACGCGCTGCTCTGCTCTCCTCTCTCAACCTCCTGCCCTCCTCGGGCCACAGAGGGCACTGAGGTGACAGCACAGCTCTCCTGCTGCTCGGCTTTCATCGCACAGCTCACTGGTGCAACAGATTGGCCAGCAGAGAGGCTCTGGGTGAACGGGCTCATGCAAAGCTGAAACATGTTGAAGACGGAAGGCAAGGCTTCTAAAGAACAATCGCCTCACGTTGACCGTGACTTTCTGTAGGGAAAGCTGGGGAAAAATTAAACTTTGAAAGTTGACATTAATCTTCGGTTCAGCTCAAAGAGCCTCGGCTTGTTTAGAAACGGTTCAATGTCAGAAACATAAYGAAAAAGACTGGAGCAGTGACAYGAGGTGAATGAGATGATACAAAAAYTTGAGCTGAAAGTGTGCCAGGAATGTTGCGACGCAACAGGCATAAGATATTGAATCATATAATCTTCAAAATTTTCTCAACTCCAAATCTTTCCTTGTTCATTTTTATACTTTTGATACGAAACAGAACTAAAGCTAACCAACAGAAGATACAGAAAAATGTGTTTCAGTATCGTTGACGCCTGAAAACTGAACTGTCAAGAGACAATGTCGGTCAGCGGCCAGCTGCTGCCAGTGTGAGCATCTGAAGATAGATATATTAATATGTGTCTCCCTCCAGCAGGATAAACAGAAATGTTTACATTCTATATCAATGCTGATGTAAGAGGGACAACCCCCTGGGGTGTGACCAAGGTTTTGATAAGTATTTTGAGATCGGGTCCATTTTAATTAGACTCAGAGTCAAACACAGGCACAGAAATAGACTGAAAGCATTTAACTGAGACCTTTTTTTTTTCTGCATAATATTTGGACATCCATTTGTGAACATTTTATTACAGGTCAAATTTTAAAATGTATAATTTTTGACAAAAAACTTGTCTTTTGACAAAAAACTCATCTTGTGCCTGTGAGTTTTGCTCTTTAGACTAAAACCCTAAACAAACGAACAGGTACATCAGTCTGTAAATGAGTGTAATTGCAAGTTATTTAACACTTAAAGAATTTGTAGATTTTATTATCAAATACACTATACACASTACAAAAACACCATTACAGAATTCAGAGGGTTCAGTGGAATCATGAATAAAACATGACCAAAAAGCAATATTAACCAGCTTTGACCTGCAGGCTCTCAGGCAGCACAAACACAAATCTGTCGAGGAGAAGGCTGTCAAGGTTTTCAAAATAAAAGCTTTTTCTCCAATACTATTAATGCTTTGTTACATTAGTTCTTATATGTAGTGTTTAAGATGCAGAACAGTAAAAAMAGACTAATCACATTTAAAATGAGCATATATGTTAACATTTGATATGTTGTGTAGTATTTCAAATTGCATTTGATTTTTAAAATACATTMATCCTCATCCTTATATTTTGGAACAAGGGTTGCACATTGTAGTAATAAACAAAGCACATTTAACAAAACAAAAAAAAACATTTTACTGCTGTTGAAGAGTTCATTAAGTTCATAAATTCTATCCCCCCCCCAAAAAAATCCCTGAAGTCTGCAAAAGTTTGGACACCCACAATATTCAGATTTGCCGAAAACGAAGCTCACGCAGCTTTGTGTCCAACACCACAAATAAAAACTAACGTCTGAATGATTTGATAATTCTTACACGGAAGCATACTGCCTTTAGTTTGACATTGTAGCAGAAAATAAGCATAACTCTGAACTTACCTGCTGCTTTTCCGAGGCAGAGGTAGATCCTTCTGGTGAGAAAGACAAACAGGAAGAGGAAAAGAGGAAGGGAGAGTGTGGACAGAAAACCAAAGTTAGACCAATTGCAGATAGAATGCAATGTGACCTCAATAAAAAAAAAAAAACACCAGAGATGCTGATAACTGAATTGCCAATAAAGAAACTTCTGCCTACAAGAATATTGTTTTTTTTACTTGACAACATATAAGGTCAAGATTCGTCAAGTCAAACATTTAGTTCTTTGACGTGATATACAGTTCTTTGATTTGGATAAAATGTTTTCTAAATGCATTAAGAGTTAAAAGTAAGAACATAAAAATGCCCTCAATATATTATACGGAGCCATGTGTTAATTTTGCTTTATAAGAAAGACTAACACTTGTAAATATGTGCTTTTTTGAAAATAAATATCAAAAATAATGTTTTTACAATTACATAACYTACTGCATTTAAGAGTATAAGTGGATAAAAATAATACAGTTCTATAGTTAAATAAATGTATAGTTTCATTTCAATGTGATGTTCTCCATTCATGTGGGGGRAAATCTGGGTGAAAACTGATCCTCCAAAGAGCTCAGAGCCTCAGAAACCTGCAGGCGGGCTGGAGCCAAAGTCAATATGAAAATTGTTGCTGCTATATTTATGACACTGGGAAACAACAGCAAGGACTCTGATGTGATTTGGCTCTGCTGTGTTGAATCTGAAAGCTGCTTGTTGTCCATCTATTAGTAATTTAAAACCATTTAACAATCAGTCCAGGTGAGATCAGATTACATTCAATTTCTATTGTCAGCCTATCCAGCTTTACTTATCGGGCTATTTTCTACCACTTAATGGCTTGGCAAAAACATGTTATCAGATGTGCATTTTTTTTTTTTCAGGAAGGATTAATGGCACAAAGCTATGTCGATGACTAGAAATGCATCCAACTTAGTAAGCACACCTGGTTCACAAGGCATGAAAAAAAAAGGTTATAAAGGAAATTTAAAAATGAAAAATTAATAAACCAATAATTTTCTTACACAACCTGGTAAAACAATAGTGATTATGATCGAGTTCAGCAGATGTAGGTCAGTAAAGATGTACTCAGGAACAAAACCAAMAACAAAATCTCTCATCTCACTTTTGCATATTGTGTTTATATTTCCTACTGAAATGGGTGGTTATAAGATATTTCCACTTATCTCATACATTCTCCATACTGCAGAGGTTACATACAGTAGCAGTGTTTAATAATTAAACAACACTAACCCAACAATAACTGGACATTTAGCAAAATATTTCTTAAACCAGTGAACAAATTTTAATGAAACTATCAGTAAAATATCATTGGATAAGCATCTACAGCTGTTAACTTTTGTTACTTTTTTTAAGACAAGTTACCAACGTCTGGAGTGGATATTAAAATGCACTCAAGAGAATTTTCTGAAATTCAGCTACAGTAGCAGTGATAACCAACTTTTGAAGAATAAACACAAATGGCCTTGATCATCTTTATATAACTTGTCAAGAATACAGTATAATTTATAAATCTAAATGTTCAACTAAGTTAGAGGAATAAAAGACATATTTACTGTTGTGTTATTGTTGTGTTTGTGTAAGGATCCTGGGTTTTTGTGGTTGTTGTTTTGGTGTCACGACTCCTCATTAGTCTACCACTCCTGCTCCTCATTTTCATTAGTCTCAGCTGTTTTCACCAGCAAACCTCCTTCCCAGCCTAACTCCTTTTTCTTATTTTATCATTGTTAGTCATACTGTTTGTTTACCTGCATTTGCATTTTGTATTTTTTTCTGCTGATCCATCACCCTTTTCCTTATAAAATATTTTTTTTCTTCTTCTTCAAGACCCATCCTTGAGTCAGTCTGCATCCTTGAGACTTTAAACTCACCAAATCCTGAAATACTGTTGACAAGAGTAGCTGACGTTTGGATTTTGAGGATTTTTATTTTATTTATTTTTTATTMAGAATGACATCATCTGTTGTGAACTCTTAGTGGGACACACTACGTCACCACAAGGAAGTATGCTCGGCCAGAGTGACTCAGAGAGAGCCCCACAGGAGGTGTGTACACATTTCTCTGTGTCAGTGTGTGTGTGTGTGTGTG